TTAAATGCTACTCTGGCGAAAAACTCGAGAAGAATGATATGGATCAAACAAAGTCCTGGTATTTATACCCTTTTTGACTCCAGTAATGTCTTAATGAGGTCATTTGGTATGCAGTCATTTGGTTTAGTTACAAAAAGTGCATAACTTGTGGCGGCGCTGTAATCAATAATTATTTTAGTTTTGCAAGTGACATCTTCCTGATAGTATATTTCCAACAAAAATAAGCGAAGTACATGTGTATTTGGATTGACCTAAAATGCCAACGTACCAGATGAAAATTATCCGATCATTATTATATTTTCTTTCGTTATTCTCATCATCTTCTTAATAACATTTTGAATTATAGATGGACCCAGTTTTATTTTTAAAAAATTACTTGATGAATAATGAAATGAAAATGTCTAGCCGTTTTCAAGAAATGGAGACGTTTTTGAAAATTCGGTATTTTTACTTGATTTTGTTCTGCTCAGCTATATATATTAGGAATTCAAGCTTGGAAATATGGCGATAGAAAGAAGAACAATAATTATGGGTACCATACCAAATTAAAAATGCCTGCTTCAAAATATACACTAATTTACTCTTTTTGTCTCTGATTCTAAGGAGTATGGATACTGATATGTCAAATAGTTTTAATCAAAATACAAGACGACGCAATTGATTTTCGAATGGATAAAATAAAATATCATTTCAAAGGGAATATGTTTTGTTCTAGGTTTCGATTCGTGCATATATATTTCAATAAAACATCATTTGCGGATGTAAAAACGTTCGAAGAATTTTTTTCTCAATTTTATGGCTTGAATACAATAAATTCTATGCTTCTCCCAAAATATTTTTTTCAAATCAAATGATTACAAATAACAAAAGAGGAAAAAATCGTTTTCTTTGTAAAAATGCCAAAATATCTTAAAAAGGAGCGCAAATATCGATCATGCCTGAATAATGTTTCATCTTTCTCGTATGATTTTTATGACCAGTGGTGTCTTTCTTGTTTTCAAACGTGTAATAAAACATTTGAAACAATGCAAGAGATTACAAAGTGACTAATTTTAACTAATTTTCAGTTTGTTTCGACATTTTTTTGATGACAAAAATGTGAAAGTGTTTATTAATTTCGGCGAAAGGTCACTATTGATTCCTTTACTACCAGACAACATATCTTAATGAGGATGCATTTCTAATGAAATCCAGCTAAATATGTGAAAACATCTTTTCAATAAATACTTTACCTGACATACTAGGTGTGTGCCGAAAAGTAATAGAACAAAAGTTCACCCTTTATCTTTCTTCGTATATTTGGGATTGCTATCGTCAAAGATCAGAACAAATACAAGAACAAAGATGACCAGACAATATGTATATCATATAATTGCATTTTTTGCCAGCCTCCCTTTGAACACATTAGAGAAGTTCTTTGTTATGCTCATTCTCTCGCTTAAATATCCTTATTGTTTCATACTATGGATTTCAATTTACAACATTTTACTTTTTAGATAGAGAAAACTCAATGTAACTTGCCATACAATTAATAGGCCAAACATGCATAGATTTGTTTTGAGATTTGAGACTGGTTTTCGATAATCTCTCCATTTTCTCATTAGCATTATTTTGGATGTCTAAAAAGCAGAGACTAAATAAAATTACAACAGAATTTCGAGTAATTGTTCAGAATTTATTTTCCATTTTCAGTTAAATACGCTTAAATACATTTGTTTTTATTATTTTCCATAAAATACAAGAAAGAGTCGAAATTGATTTAACATTGATGGTAGCCAGAGTAAGATGAGTCATTGGTGTTGTCTATTTTTCCTCGCACCATTCGTTCTCTTTGCGAACCTGTTCTTCTTCGGCCGATGTAAAGTCATTCTTGATGTTGAATGTACTGCGAATTTCTTCGGGTGTTTTGCCTTTTATCATATTGGCAACCGTTTTGCAGCCGGCATCAAGCAAGCTTTTGATGTCCAAGTAATTGGCAGCCAGAATCAAATCAAATAATACGCCTGCAAATAAATTACACAAACAATTAGATACGTTTTCCAAACAATTGTGGTGGGCGACAAACTAAAATATTTCGAGTCGTTTAAACCAAACAGCCTTTTAACTTTTAGCGAAAGAACTAATAAAGGATTATTGTGTTTTTACCTTGATCACATTTCAAAAAATCAGCATCCCATGCTGAAATATCATCGGTGCGCTTTTCCTTGTTTTCATCATCATCGACAGGTTTATCGTTATGATGATGTTTTGCCCATTCTAAAACTCGACGTAAAATGTATGAGTTCACATTTTTAAGTGGTACAGTGGCACCACCATCGTCATCTTCAATACCACAATCATCCAACATGGTTTTAATAGTGCCGGAGCATCTGGCCACGTCGATTTCAGTATCAAATATTTCACCGTCTGATGATTCCAACTTAATAATGGCCATCTGAAAAATAGACATGAAAACAATGAATTATTTTAATTCTCACTTTTCCAAGCACTAATGACTTTGGCGATTTTTGTTGGTAGAAAAAACAATGCAATATTATTTACTTTTAAACGATAAACTTAAAGAACCTTGTATACTGAGTGAGACCTCTATACAACTCAAATGTGGATTTCAATGCGAGTGAGAGAGGCAATAAAAGCCTCACTTTTTATACAAACTTCTTTAAGCACGAAAATTATAATAGAAATGGTTTGAGATCGTAATTATAAAAAAAAA